CCTCAAGTGGAACTAGAAGACCAAGAATGAGCTGAGATGTGTGGATGTGATTGTGTGACCCCATCCTCATCAGTAAGTAAATACATGGACACAACTGAATTGAATTAACCCACGAAGGTGCCTTGTCAATGTATAATGTTGCTTATCTAAAACTATCATGGCACAAAGAGGGCAAAGATCTTAGAAATCTCAAGATATAGTGACGTAATGGAAAAGGAACTACCTGCAAATCACATAGACAGCCCAGTGGGCAAATATTAAGGATGAGGTTAGTGTCCATAACTACAAAAGAGAGATGATGCCCACATCACAGAATGGTTTTAAATTAAGCAAGTAGAACAAGTGAAGACAGGTAGCTGGGTACCACCTCTAGGATGGGCTCTGTGAGTCCTATAACCCTCCCATCCTAGCCCTTTCTGGCAAGGGGACCCAATCCTGCATTCTGCCATAGGTAGCTGGTCATTGTACTGCCTGCAGAGCAGTTCTCAAGGGCATTTGCTTTTCTCCCACTTGGAAAACAATTAGTAGAACAGGTGAGAAAGTTATGTTCATTCACATTTCCAGATAGGGAACTTCTCTGGTTGCTNTAGAACAGGTGAGAAAGTTATGTTCATTCACATTTCCAGATAGGGAACTTCTCTGGTTGCTAAGACTACAAACAGGCTCCTTCTACTTCAGGTGAGAAACAGAAGTCATACCTATAACAATACCTCTTTCTTCCCAAAATTAAGTTTTTTTTTTCCCAAAGCACTTACTTCCTCTGGTGCTTTATTTTGCATCCCAGTCTGTTATCCAGTGCCAAATTTAATAGTACTTAACCATTTCCCCACGGTGTTCATGCATAATGGCTGTAACTAGACAGGCTAAGGCTAACACATATTTAAACGAAGGAAATCTCCGTACATTTTAATTTGAAGTAATGACCTTAATAAACATAGTTACTGCAGGGAGAAGCCGCTAATGCAATTCCTCCATCAATATTTGCACCTTCCCACACTTAAGGGCAAGGACTGTATCTTCTGCATTTTCTGCATTCTCACATTGTAGCAGTATCACATCATGTAGAGGTTAGTGCATGCATTCCAGAGTTGGAAGATATGAGTTCAGATCTTGACTAACCTACTTATTAACAGTGTACACTGGGTAAAATACTTAACATCTCTGAAGTTCTGTTTTTCTCATATGGAAAATGTGAGAAATACTTAACGATTTAACAGGAACCTGTTGTATTTGCCGTGTTAAGTAAACATTGCTAATTATGATAGTTTCTTGTTCATATTTACTGGACTATCTGAAGGACAATGGACCTCCTTTGCCACCTTGCTAAACAGGTGCATACTCCTTGACTGATGAGGGAAATATGTCCAAAGGCCAGGAGATAGAGAGACTCACCTTTCTTATCTGCAAAATGGAAACTGCCCTGACTATTCATGGGGAAATTAAAAAACAAATGAGAATATTCATGAAAGGGCTTTGAGGCAGACATCTAAACACGCTATGAAAATACAAGAGTGAGTATGTTTACTTTTCAAAGAATAGCCAAACTTGTTTTCTGAATTACCATCTTTATTTACCCTAAGCACCTCCAGTACTTCTTAACTCACTGATAAGAGAAAGCCTGAGGGCTTTCTTTTTGTTCTTTTAGTTTCCTTCTAAGCACTTTTCCCTTAGGTGATGCTGCACTGTCCCCAGAGTTTGAAAAGGGTGTGCATGAGAAATAACAGTGTTCTGACTGGGAGCAGTGGATAGGGTTCAAACACGACAACACCTCCAACAAACTGACAGTCTACTTGGGCTGCTGGGTTGAGAAGGCCTGCATGTCACCGTTCAGATCCCTTATCAAAGTCTGCCTTGGCAGGTGACAAGACAGTGGTAGTCTAAATGTGGACAGTGGCAAGTGGCGGCTCATCTCCAGGAGCATTTCCCAACGCATGCATGTATGATCTAAGCAATAAAATAAAATAAAATAAAATAAAATAAATAAAAAAACAAAAACAAAACAGAAAAGCGAAACTAACAAACCCTTGTGCTTGGAATGCAAATACTACTTTGTCTCCGCATCTAGGAACTACACTGTTGCCCCCGGATTCTCCTATCTAGAAATTCTGGAGCCAACTTAGGGGTCAAGAACTTGGCAAATAAGCCCACAGCTAGGAGCTTAAAATTTAGTAGGGGCCATCCTTCCAAGCAGAGTGCTGGAGGGAACTCTGGGGTCTACATGCAGGCCTTGCCACCAGAAGATTTGTCTGCCACCAGAAGATTTGTCTCCACATGAGGGAGGGAAGAGGAGGAAAAAGAGCTCACCAAGAAGACAGTGAGAGTGTCAGGAGGAGAAGCAGGATACAGGGAAGCCCTGAACACTACATGAATTGCAATTTTGCCACCAGAAGATTTGTCTCCGCATGAGGGAGGGAAGAGGAGGAAAAAGAGCTCACCAAGAAGACACTGAGAGTGTCAGGAGGAGAAGCAGGATACAGGGAAGCCCTGAACACTACATGAATTGCAATTTACCCACCTGTCTTAGGATTGATCCTAAATTTCCCCTGTTCGTTCCCAGATCTGATGAGATATGTAATCTCTGCATTTGTGCCAATATCTTTGCTGGTGGCAAAAACAGCAAGGACTTGGGTGCCAGGAGAGGTGTCCTCAGGCACTGTCACCAGGTAGTCCCTCCTCTCAAACACAGGGGGGTTGTCATTAATATCCAGGACAGTGATGGTGACGGTGGTGAGAGAAGACAAGGACAGCCCAGGACCCTGGTCAGTGGCCCGCACGCTGATGTTGTAGGAAGACTGCTGCTCTCGGTCCAGAGGCTTCTCCAGGATGATGATACCAGATGAGCCATCAATGGCGAAGAACCCATCAGCTGAGTCTACCAGGGAATACACAACCTTCCTATTGATGCCTGCGGGAGAATACACAAGAATGTGAGCAGAGAAGGACGTGACCAGACAATCTGCACTAAAATATTACGGCTTTGCTGACTCGAAGGGCCACACAATGAAGAATAGTCACTATAGAAATAGCTGTGATCCTATGAAAATGTAAACTTCAGTCTGTAAAAAAATATGCAACTAAATGTAAAGGTAAAGAAACTGGGACACTGGCAGAAAATATCAGAAATAGTTGAATATTCTTAATACAAACCCCTACAAATCTTTAAGAAAAGCTCTCAGATGCTAACAGACACATGGAAAAAGATGTGCCACGGGAAGAGAAATATAAATCAATCAATGAATTAATTACCTTAAGAAATATTTATTTAGAATCTGCCAGGCACTATTCTAGGTGCTAGAGGTTCTAGCAGTGGGCAAGAGTACAACATTACTTTAGGAAATGTTTACATGCTAGTGTGTTTGGGGTAGGGAGGTAGAAGCCACTGGAGAGCTTTGAGATGGGACGTGGCTTAGACTTTTTAACAGGCCCCTCCAGCTGCTGGTTGTGAACAGACCAAAGACCAGCCAGAGAAGGAGCAGGGAGAGCAGTCAGCAACCTCCTGCAGGAATACAGACATGGGATAATGATGGCCTGAACAAGGGTATTGGTGCTGGAAGTGGGGAGAAGGGGTCGGGTTGCAGATGTATTCTGTGCACACAGGTGGTGAGAAGTGAACAGGTCCTGGATGTATTCTGGAGGTGGTAAGAAAGGAAAGTTTTCTGACTGGAGTTGGCAGGATATAGGATGTGAGAGAAAGAGAGGATTCCAGAGTGACTCTAAGGTTTTGGCCTGAGCAACTGGAAAGAGGGAGTTACCATTAGCTGAGATGTACAGGGCTGCAGGAGGACCGGGTTTTGGATAAAAGACCAGAATCTCCATTTTGGACAGATTAAGTTTGAGATGGGCATTTGATATTCAGTGAAAACATTAAGGAATATCCATCAACAACCAACAAATTACTGAATGATGATTAGATTGACTTCTGGTTCTGAAGATTGATTTAACTGTTTTCATTAGAGGATCTTAGCACTTCAAAATGGTTTATGAACCTCAAATTCATTTTAGTTATTAAGATTTATTAGAAGAAAAATGCAACAACTTTGTAGGCTGAAAAAGCACCCTTCTGATCCTAAATGCCCTTAAGGAAGAGTCATTAGTCAGGGGTCTTTAGCTATGAGAACCCTCCGAAAATGTCTCTTGTGAATCCTGGAACTCTAGATAGAGGCTCTTGAAGGGGAGGGTCTAGCCATGCAGCTTTTTTCTATTATAACATCTCACCAAGGGGATGGGCATTTGGCAATAATAAGGGTTAAACATTTTACTTCCCCAAAGTACCATTTTTCCCTTAAGCCTAAATTCCCAGCAAACCAATAAAATCATATATCTGGAGGGGAGGACATAAATTGCATTATGTGCCTTTAACCAAAAGGTCGTCAGAGAGCTTGTTCTTGGTTCCATTCCAGAGAGTCCATTTTTTCCAAAGTCTCACCATTTGCTTTTATTTCTCTTTCAAAACAACTACTCTGTGATATACAAACATCAACCTCTGATTTTACTGGCTGAGATTAAAAACAAGAAGGCTTTTCCTTTTCTGTTGCTGCCCCTTGAAATAAGGCTCCAGAGCAGAGGATGGTTTCTGGCTATTTCTGGAGTGGCTGCAAGATTAAATTCTTCAACATAAATTCCTGGGGTGAATACACAGAGGGCTGCAGACATGATCAAGCTTGCACCTGGAAAACAATAGCTCTGCCAGGGTGTCAGAATAGGTTGTATGCCCTGGAAGCTGCTTTGGCTGATTCAAGGGTCTCAGAGTACCTCTCAAAGTTACAAAAGGAAGCATATCAGCAACAGACATAAATACACGACATAGGTTTTCAAATCACACATATTCTCTACAGATTTGACTTCCACTCCAGCATATCGTACATTGCTCTTGCCAACAAGAAGTGGGCTGGAAATTCATACAAAGTCTTTTATCTGCACACGTGTTGGCAACTACAAAATCCATTTTATGGATGCATATAACAAGGGCTGATGGGTTTGCTGGGTGCTACGAGCATATTTAGGTAAGCATGAAGGACAAGCAAACTCCTGTTTTCCCTAGGCTCCTTGCTCAATCCCCTCAGGGATTTCAGATCTGTGCCTGGATATTTTTCCTCTTCAGGCCAGAAGATGAGTTAGGGAGGAAAGCAATTTCTGACTCATTGTTCTGAACAGTGCTTCAACCAGCCGAGCTGGAAGAGGTAGTGGGTGGATTTGCACACTGCCACTCTCTGCAGCAGTGGGGGCAGAATGGAAATGCTTTTAATGGCTGCTTGTTCTTCCTTCACTGGGACAGATAGCTGACATCTAATTAAAAATATCACCTGTGTTCCAGGTCTGCAGCTTTCTTCTCCAGCCCTATTCAGAGGCACTCAGCTGGGCTCTGATCCCCTAAGCAGGAGACGTGGTGTTCTCAGGCTTCCTGCTCAGCGGGCGAGCCCTGTTGTTGGAGTGCTGCGTGTACAAGGCTGACATTAATCAGCCACACAAAGACCATGGCTCCCCTCTGGGCAGGTTCTGTTAATTTAAACTTGGTGACAGGGTTTTTCGCTTTACCCTAGCAGAAAACTATCCCTTCCCCCCAAAGTTGCTGACCCACCTCCTCACACCCCTCCTTCCCATACATTTTGCTTCTGACAGTATCTTGGGCATTCAGACCAGGAGCAACTGGGAGATTTATTGTTTCCCTCTCCTTTCTGTTACCAATCAGAGTGATATGAAAGCAAGACCAGAAGATGGCATCATTTATGATTTGCTAGCTCTCAAGAAAAGAGTAGGATATGTTTTTGGAACACATTATAATTCCAATTTGGACACAATTGCAATGGATTGCAATTATTTTTAGAAATAATGTCAGACACATAAATGCCAATTTGGAGGCAGTACTTTTGGTGTAGTACTTGGGTCTCGGCCGTGTTACCAGGCGAGGGGGTACTGTCTGTTAAATGAATGCGTGTCATGTCTCTAAAGTGGAAACTTTATATCCAAAGGAGTTTGATAAATGTCATCCTTCAAATTGTCATCCCGTTACTATATACCCAGCAGATAAGATGAACCCGAGAAAAAGACTTGCTTGCTAATTGGCGTAATGCTCCCACTTCATGTCACAGTGTGTTATATTAAGGTATAACATTAATCCATCATTTTGCGTCTGTGTTTTTAAGTATGTAATTCTCTTCTTCAATTTGAGCCTAATTTAATGAGGATGGAGCCACTTAGCTTTTTAAAATGCTGAAATGCCAGGCTACCAAGAGAAGTATGACTTCCACAGCAAGTGAAGTTTCTGCACGTTAACTGTGGCAAATGGGGCAGGCAGACCCTAGGAGGATTAAAATCAAGTAAAAAAGAGAATGATTAAAATCCCTATTTCCTCAAAGGAAATAATAGGTAGCAGCATTTTTGTGGAGTGGGGTTGGAGGAAAGAAATAGTACATAAAAATTACTGGTAGGGAAGGCTGTGATGTCCTGGGATGGGTTGCCAATGGCATCTATATTCTGTCCTTCTGAAGGCTTCTAAATGGTGTCTAATTTGGCCAAATGGAAAGGTGAGACTTTTGGACATGGGACTTACATAAAAGTCAAAGTTTTAAATGCTTTCCAATGAAGACAATGTGGTCCAGTCCTGGAAGACAAGAAATCTTGCCTCTGGCCCATGTTCTGCCCAAACTGCCCGAGAGCCCTTGGTTAAGTCACTTAACTTCACTGGGTCTTCATTTTTAGGATGGCAGAACCCAGGTCAGTTGAGGTCTAAGTTTATGCTCCAGCATTTCCAAGTTAGACAAATGCAGCTGATCTCACTTGCATTTCCAGTGGACTGCCCCCTCGACTGCTCATGGAGAAGTTGGACCTGGGCCTAAGTGGGCCAGCATCAACAAAGGAGAAATCCACATTAAGAGAGATCATGATGAGCTGTTGGAATGTTCTGGATGGGAAGAAAACTTAGCACAGCAGATTCATACCATTTGGTTAAATGTTCAGAATTCACACATGTCACTTACAGTTATACAGACTCATACGTCGGTGAGACATAGCCTCCAGCGCCAGAATCATCCCCAAGGATGTAACCCAGTGTCAAAATAACTCAGTTTTGAGATTGTTAAAGGTGTAAGAATCAACAATGAAACCAAATGGCAAGAGTCACCAATGCAGCAAGTACATAGAGATTTTTTTTGACCTAGTCTTTAAAAAATATTTTCTTTTTCTCCTAAGGTCAGGCTCCTTAAACTTAAAGAACCAGCAAGAGCTACATTATACTTGCTTTGGTGTCTTATGTTGGCAGCTTCTCTGACTCCTCTGCAGGGCTTCGTCTATTACATTCACCACTATGTCCTCCACCTCCTGTACAGAATCTGGCCAGTAGGTGGCACACGAAAAATGTGGGCTAAATTGAAGTAAACTGGTTTTTATAAAGGGATTTGAATTTATATGAAGGAGGTATCTGGGGAAGAAATAATTTAAAACAATTTCAACAATTAGAGTGTAGTAACACTCTTAATTTTGGTTCTAATCACTTATTTTTATATTGACTTCATTGAGGTGTCGTAACTTACATTTAACATAAACACATTTGAAGTGTCCAGCTCATAAGTTCTGACAGTGCTGCTTCTTTTGAGAAGTGGAAGGTTTCTGTCTTCCTCTTAGTAGACACTGCTGTGACACTTCCATTTATTAAAGATTTGCCAAGTGCCATCTGTTTGTTTGACTACTCTAGGCACTGAGTTGAGGGGAAGTGGAACCCCCAAAACATGATCCCTAACTCTAGGAACTTAGCAACTTGATGAGGAATTACCCTAGACTAGGTAATTTAGAGTTTCCTGCATGTCTTCCCCCAATTCCCGTCTCTCATATGAATTGAAATGCCATGTTCTTTTGATTCTACCTCTGAGATATCTCTTGAATGTCCTGGGACCAGGTCTCATAGCCAGG